CAGACCCATAAACGGAGCAGTCCTTCCCAATCAGCCTCAATGTGGAAAATTAAGAGTGAATGAAAGGTCAATTCAAAGACGCTTGGCCTTTCAGCGACAGCTATCAGCCAGTCAATGTTTATTCCGCAATATGTTACAAGAGAAACAGCCATTGTTGTCCATTTAAGAAAATCATTCTGCAGGCCGACCAGCTATCAAAAGCAAAACGAGAAGAGGATACTACATTTTGTCTTTTTTATTTTCGTCTCGCAGATGAATTAGAAGTAAATTAAAAAAGAAAAACCAGGTTGTTCCTCTTACTGTGGTAGCAAGCGAAAACCCCGCAAAATCCCTTTATTTACAAAAAAAAAACCTTTCATACTTTAAATACTTGAATGTGTCAATGTGTGAGATCACTGTCACAACGTCTAAGCTTTCCTGTAAGTCAAAGAGGATACTGATATATTTGGCATCTTAAAGCTCAAAACACTGTTAAAAGCATGATAGCACTATCATAATAATGGGTCTGAATACATGCACTTACTCCTCTTGACTAATGGACCAAACTTCATACACAAGAGGAAAGTGTCTTTAAAGTGATATAATGCACTGCGGTGTATTATATCTATTCACAGTGTTTCCTACATATGTGTCCATCACAAGCTGAAACACCTGCCTATGCTACGTTCACACCGGACGCGAATAGCGCGTCAAATTCGCGTCTACCGCGTCTAGTTTGACGCTTGACCACTTTGTGTTAATTCGCGTGTCAATGGCGAAATTGACGCGCGTAAAACAAAAGTTTGAAGCGAAATTTACGCGCGTCAGAGGCGAAAGTTTCGAAACCCGTCGGCGGCCATCTTTTTAGATGTTTATCGAGCATTAGCATTAGCATTATTCGAGAGAGTCACCGCTCGTATAGGCTCTGGAGAGCAGAAACAGCTGCGTAGGGGACATCGTCGCTGTACTCGGGTCCACCAGACCCTCCGGAGGGTTCCAGGAGCTAGGTTTGGTGGACCTAACGGTGAGGACGCTGACGAGGACACCGTAGGCCGTGTAAAGCCTCGGCCTCGAGTGGTCGCTGCCTGACGAGCCCGCGCTCTACAGCCCGGCGCGAGGTTCACCCTCGCCCGCACATTTATTTGATAATAAATGGAGCCAGCCTCCAAAAGTGAAACCTGTCCTGTGATTTTTTTATTTATTATACACTATGTGTTTGTTGTTTTTACATTAAAATAATAATGTTTCATATAATCTAAAATAGATATGGAATAAATAGCATTCAATACAACATGAGTACTATCTCTCATATATTAAAATCGAGTTTTTATGTGAAAGATTTGCTTTGTTGTGCATTAGAACCACACCAGACATTTTAGTAATATTACAAAATAATTTATTAAAATAACAAACTTTCACTTCACCACGTGACAGCAGCAAGCAGGCTCCTGATTGGTTAACGCGGCGCGAATTGACGCAGAAGTTCAAATTTTTCAACTCGGGCGGCAGACGCGAATTCGCGTCAAACGCGTGAATGCACAAATAGCACTAACTAAATCATTCGCGCGTAACGCGCTTCCGCGCCAGATGCTTCAATTCGCGCGAACTTGACGCGCGAATGAGGCGTATTCGCGTCTACCGCGCCGCAGGAATTTTTTACGCGCGTAACGCGTCTTTGCATTGACTTAACATTGAAATCACTCGCTCCTGACGCGCTATTCGCTTCCGGTGTGAACGTAGCACAGCACAAATGTCCATTGTATTCCCTGTGCTGAAAAAAGGACAAAATAAAACTCTGATATCAGCCAAAATGATTCAGTTTGGTTATTTTGAGATTACCAGCCAGTTTCAAGATCTACTGACATCCTTGTTAATGAATATAATGCACGTTCTTCTGGTAATAATACAGAACACGCGTTTCTGTTTTTTTATGGTGGCTTAATATTGTATAAAAATAAATGTGTTTACATTTTGCTATTGTATTTCTCATTTATTGTCATTAAATCGTATTATTTATCAGCCACCCTGCTCTCATGATATCAGCATTGGCCTTTGGCAAACCCAAATAGATCACTGACCACTAAAAACAAGCCATACAAGGTGAACTACACTTTAGGATGAAGCTCATTGGGCTATTGCATCAGAAAAGAAACCAAGACAAAATGACTTGAGCATGTTCACCACTGAAACCTCAGTCTGTGACGATTCAGGGTACAGTAATGAGGGTCAGTCTAGAATAGATCGACGGGCCAAGAGATAACCTGCGGGTTTTCTACATCACCACCGTTTTCAGATATGTCGATGTTATACTCTAGTAATACGTCACATCTACATTAGAGGCTGACGAGCTCAAAGATAAGGAAGTCAAGAAGTTCTTTAAGTGAACTGCACATGTCCATCAACAGGTACTTAAGTTGGAGCCAATCAATTTGCTAAAACACAGAAATCATCACCAAGACTTTACAGAACAATTGCTCTAAAACCCACTCAGAAGACCTTAGCAGCTGCAAAGCATCACCTTGACAACCACCAAGAACCCTGTTGCATTGTGGTGGTGACTTTTGCATAATGCAAACACCATTTTCATCTCAAAATGTAAAGCAAGTATAAAATAAAATGCTGACAGACAGACAATAAAGAGGACCTCTCTCTCTGTGGACATTTTAGCACCCTAGCTGACTTATGGTGTATTTTTTGCAAACTCCGAAGAATCACTTCCTCATCAAATCACAGATGCAAAATGGAAAAAAACAAAACAAGAAAGCACTCACAAATGCGCACAGTGTGTTCATAGTGGCCAGCAACTCCACAGAACTATATAGAACACACAACGCTGAACATCTACAGAACATGGGTGATTTCCCCTTTTTCCTTCCATCAGACTGCAAAAATGACGGAGGAATTGTGGGAAGTGGGTAGATTTGGAGCCAGTCAGTGCTCTACTCAAGACTCATGACGTTTGCAATGGTAAAGAAACTTAGGCTACTTAATGTTTGTGCACAATATTACACCAAACTGCAATGGTTGTCGGGGTAGTGTGAACTAGCCTAGAAACAAATCAATAAAACTTGTCAGAAAGATCCAGAACATTCTAACACACAGGGCCGAAAACATATCTTGCAGTTTGTTGATGAGATTGAGCAAACTCGGTTATTTTACAGACAACGCGTCATTGTGACTGATGACCAGCAAAAAAGAAGACATTTTATGTTAACGTGCGCTAAAATACTCTTCCTGACGCATATCAAAACACAACATGTGAAACTAAATGGACAGTTCAGCCAAAAATGGAAAACTATCTCATAATTTAGGCTACGCAACCTCATATCATTCCAAACCTGCCTGACTTTCTTTTTTTTGTTCATAGAATGAATGCCAATGGGGTCCAATGTTGTTTTGGACCCCATTGACATTCACTGACTGGATAAAACCACTCTTCTAAATATTTTTTTTGTATTCCACAGAAGGAATATGTCAGGTCTCTGCATGTAATCAATATAAAACACACACGCGAACATACATGATTCCTCGTTGAATCATTACCCTATTGTTCTGCATGCTTTATCCAACAACATAATCTGAAGTCGAGAAAAAAAAAGCCCACAGAAGAACAGACCAATGTCATAATCCTTCCCGATGTGATCCGTTTTCTTCCTTACCACTCCAGGACGTGGTTCATTTAGTGACTCTTTGCCGTCCCATCGCAAAGACAAAGACCTGATGATAGTCTCAGGTAATCAGATCAAAGGAATGATGCGGTTGACGTGCTTATGAGAGGCTTATGCGTGCATGATGCACGAAAGATGCCCCCAAATTTAACCTGAAGGATTAGAATGATTGCGTTTAAATCTTCGTGCACTTGAGTACAAGCCCTTTCCTCCACACATCTGATATGACGCAATCCAGCTCAAAGAGGGGTGGTTTGAACTCTCCTTAGGGAGTGAACAAAAGACCGCGGCTTTACATAAGCTGGACAGCGACATACATCTGTGAGGTCTGGCCGGATTAACAGATGCTGCGCTTGAGATTAACATTCAGACGCAAGAGGAAAGAGAAATTATGTGCTTGCGTACATGATCATTCAGTCATTCGGAGAAGCTGCCGTTTTGATGGATGAAACTACGCTGATATCACAAAACAGATATAAGAAGGGAGGAAATAATGACCATGAAATGCACAGGAACTACTCACTGAAATCAACAAATGTCTCTTTTTTCTCTTTGTTCATTCGTCCTACAAACGCTGTAAAATATCTACTTGCCTCCTCAGTTTCAACTCATTTATTAAAAAATTCCTTCAATTTTTCCGTTCCAAGTCTCTCAAGATAAAAGCATCTGCTAAATAAGTACATATACACAAAAATGTGCACATATTGACAGTGCTAATATGTTGAAATATACAATATCATAAGATAAGAGATGCACCGGTCAACCAACCATCAATTGGAACCAGCCGGGAGGGTTTTTGATTTGTTTTACTTTGGCCGATCTGTGTTCTGGAAGTACACCCATGCACACAAACGGCATTGGAATCATTTCCAAAAATTTCACCCGTGTGGAAATATTACGAAGTCTGTGAACAGGAGGTTAAGATCGCAAGCTGTAATGTCAGCAAAGTAACAGTAAAAGTTAGTCATGAAGGAATTGGCCCATTTGCTTGTAAAAAAAAGAAAAGAATCGCTTTTTCCCCATGAAAAAAATCTTAATCGGTACATCTCTACTTAAGATTTTTTAAAGCACTGCCTTTTTTACAATACCATAAACATCTATTCTATTTCATTTAAATGGCAAATAATACTTCTTTGCATGTGAATAGAAGATCTAACAATAAAACTAATTAATAACTAACCAACCAATTAATGCAGATCCAATATAGGCTAACCTGTGTAAACTGTTGTTTCAGTAGTTCATTAATAATGAGGAAATAATAGACATCCTGATTGAGATAAAACTGCCATAACTACACGCTCATGTGGATTTATATTAATAAACAACAATACACATTAAATAATCTTGCCTTACCTTCAATATTTCCCCACGTTTAAAACTCAGCTCATCATCTGCAGTTGCTTTGAAATCATACTTGGCAATGGCCTCCATGATTCAGCCTGACGGACACCTGTGTGGTTGGGTATAAAGCAGTGGAAAATGCCTCCTGATGCAGTTTATATCCCTGTTGTGGACCAGAGGACCAGACAATGAGATCTCAATAGCGATGATGAGCACAGATCCAAGAAGACACAAGGATGTCCACCTGCCTCTCTCTCAGCCTCAGCCCCGCGTCTCTCCTCCCGTCGCGATCCTCACATAAAGATCACGGCGAGAAACCTGTAAACAAAATACACTCTTACACTCAGAAAATCAGATAGGAGAGTGTTGATCTAGTGTTCTAGATTGTTCAATGGGCCGCGCCCCACGATACAACTGGCATTAAAAAGCAAATGCTCCCCATAAAGAGGAAGGAAACCCGTCTGCTTGACGTCTCAAGCGGCCAATAACGCACCGCGAGCATAGCGGACCGTCCAATCAGATTAGCGCGTCGAAGAGGAGTCGGCCAATCAAAAGCCCTAGAAGGGACGTCAACACCCAATTGGCTTCGCTCCGTCTAGAGTTCGACCAATAAACGTTCGGAATTTCTCAGCGTTGGAGAACCCAAGGCTCGATAACGTCATATTGCTATAGAACGTGCACAGAATAATATTCGTTTAAACCTGTGAGCAAATATCAAGGATTGCGCAGACATAAGTCGAAACGTAAACACAGCTATGCAAACCAGCTGTAATGTTAACGATATGATATTTCTTGCGGAGAAAATTGCGTAAATGACACCGGAAATGGAACCGCTGTGGATTCTATCTAAAGCATGTTATTGTACATTTTATTCATATTGACATCTTGCAGAGAATTGGAAATCAACAGGCAGCATTTGACACTGACGTATTGTTGTCTGACTGTATAAATATCGAAACGTTTAGCATCATATAATAGAATAACACAATGTTTACAACATTCAAATAAAATATATATTAATTGTAAAACTGCTATGCTTGATATTGTTTACAATTATGCATAGAGTAACACAATATAAAACTCACTTTCACTGTCTATTATGTTCAAGTTTCTGAAGTATTACTATTCAACTGTGTATCGTTTAAATAATAATAGATGAAACATCAATAATTTCAGTAACTGTACAGTTCCGAAGGTTCTAGTTTATAAATCCCGTAAAGCAGCTTTACATCAACACACGAGACTGAGTTTCATTTGTCGACTTTTTGTCAACATGTCTAGAAGCATAAAAGCGATGGTTTCATAACCATAAATGATAGCGAATATTGATCATGTATAGTAAAGCACACAGGCCTTATGGCCTTTGGCCATGTTAACGTAAAAAAAAAAACCTGACGCTGGCAGTCAGAGAAAAACTGAAGTTTCATATACTCACTCTTGTAAACAACTGTAAGGGCCAATACTCGCTCTCTCGTTTTAATGAACCTAGAATCCACTCCTATTGGTCTTTGATCGTTGCTGAGGTTGAGCTCTTGTACCTCGCCCGAGTTGAAATGGTGAAAAATTGCTGTATTTTTCTGTTTATTTCCGTTTCCTCCTCGATACAGCATGTGCAGCTTCCGCCTGCCCCTAGTGGACGAGTTGTGTCATTACACACTTTTACAATAATGCTCAATTGGCTGCGGCATAGCGCCATCCTTTGGTAAAATATCAAGAGCGTTTTAACATGACAGTGAATACATATATTCTATAGTGCCTGACGTTGTGTTGGTTGTGAATGCTCAGAAGTTTAGACCATTGCTTTTTACCACATGGCCTGAAACTGCATCATCTTCACTTATTCAGATAACTTTAAGGATCAAATAGTGTATTATTATTAGTAGTATATTAAAAAAAATATCACTATATGATTTAAGCTGTTTTCCTCATGGGGGCCAATAAATGTCTCAACAAGGACAAGGATTTTGGATATCATCATCTTTATGGGGAACATTTTGTCCCCATAATAGGGTTTACCAGGACACACACACACAGGCACGCACAAATAATATTCAACATTGGCTATTACATGAGAATAAGTAACAAGACCAAAATTATGTTTTTTTACTACCAGTGTGTGGGATATGTCTGTGTATGGCATCAGGTTAAAGCATTTACATCACGTTTACATACAGTTTTTGGCACAATTTTCACAAGCAATTGGTACATTTTCAAAACTCTTAGTACTAAAATCACAACAGATTATCAAAAGTGCACTTTTTACATTTACATTTCATTTTACACAATTGAAATACACAAGATCACAAAGTATAATTTTCACTACACAAAATAAGTGTTTCATCTATAAATGTTTCATTCACAGTAACTACGTTTCATAAAGCTTTTACTATCAAACTTTTGATTTGCATTTCTTCTCGTTCAGTTTATTTGTCTATTATTTAATCCAACTTTAAGCAAAAACCTATAGATTTCTATAGATATTGATTCAGTTTCTATCTTAGATGATAACCATGTTCAAGGTGTGTGCAGACAGAGAGAGGGAGAGATTTGCAGTTTGTGAACATAGAGCAGAATAGAATACAAGGGAGAGGAAACAGTCAATGACTGTGTATCAGATTGATCAAAGATGCATGCGAGACACATGGCACAGTGAGAACATTTACTGTATTGCCATTGCAGCAAACTCTGTTCTAAAGCTCATGGCTTCATCACACCTTTTGATAATACACTTGATACCATTATGTTACATAAGTTAGGTAATGTAAGTGTATTTTCTAATGTGGCATCTGTAGCCGGTGTTACTAATTTCAGTAACAATGGTGATTTGAAACATATCTTGCATTGCTTGCTATTACAGTAAATTAAGCGATTGTTAAAAGCACTAAACTGAAAGAAGATCATACTGTTGTGTTTCGGTGGTTAAACCAAATGTTCTTATTACATATTATAATAATCTTGTGTTTGAAACAATGATTATAATGAAAATATGTACAACTAGAATGAAAGCATGATATCAGGTTTTGAACAAGATTTTTGTACTATAAGAGTTTTGAAAATGTACACCTTGTGAAAATAGTACCAAAGCGAATAAAAACCGATATGACATTCTGATTGGAATATTCTTGTATGTACCCAGATATAAAAAAATATGCTTTTTGTTATTGAAAATGTTATTTCTGAATGTTCTCTGAACGGTTAAAACCGAACGTTAAAGTTATGACAACGTTCCCTGTTAGCTGGGCAAACATTATATTTTAGTACTTTTTCAAGATATTCAAATATGCTTGCTATCACACAACCTGCTCAATTGCAGTTTCTTTTTGCATAGATTATCTGCTTAAAAATGTGCGCTTCACGCGTAGGCTGATCAATCCATCCACTCCAGGTTTTATTATCAAGGCAACATTTAACACTACACTCGCAAACATGTTTCCACTTTATAGACACTTCAAACCCAGCCTGATTAAACAGCTTACTAATTACAATGGAGCAAGACATGAACACATTATGCGGTGGAAATGCAAATTTGAGATTATTTGCTGTAATTGTGTGCAGTTTCCCGTTTCCGTACAAAAAGTGCCCAAAAATGGATGATGTTCCTCACGTCAGCAGCTTCAGGCAGCAAATCAGACGCTACATCGAGCTCAACGCACAACCTCTTTTCAGCAAGGCTCATTTTCTCCCAAATGTCCTGTTTATCAGGATTGAATGAGAGCGTTACATCACAGGAGGCAGGCACATCTTCATCGGACAATGAAGCAGTGAAGTGTGTAACTGGAGACATATTGGCGATGTAGAAGCAGAAATGGGTGGTGTAGAGCGCGTTTGAGGAGCTGTCAACTAGTGGCATGCGTTTCAGAGAAATGAAAGGCTAACCACTGGAGATACTCATATTAAGGTAGGTTTATGCAAATGAGATAGAATTTGATGCGTAATTCTTTTACACTAAGAAAAAGTACCACAAAGTGTTTGTGGACAGGCAACATGTCAATAACACATTTCATAATATTCATAATAGCACCATGTTGTTTTGGAAGTAGGCTACCTTGGAGTATAATGTAAATACTATAGCCTATATTGATATTGTACGGGTTGCCTATACATGATGATAGTTAAAAAGAAAGGCTATTATAAATGTTCATGCACTGTAAAAAAAAAAAAGGGAGGTTAGACATTTTTTACAGTGTGCACAAAGACCCATTTAAATAAATGGGTGAAAGAAAAACCCAATTAAATCAGTGTGAGAAAAAATTGTAAGCTTGATATTATAAAGATGTGTTGTATCTAAAATTACTTAATTTGCTTGTATGTTGCCAAAAGTAATTAAATTAAATTTATTCAAATATTACCCTGAGATATTTTCGTTTGTTGTTTGTTGACATTGTCTATTCAATGTAATACAATTGTTCTTATTTCTTACTGTTCAAAACTAAGGGTGTTAACAGAGTACAGAAATCTGATTTCATGAATCTCAGGATAAAAAAAGTGATTCTAAAAAATGTAGTAAATAAATTTGAAATAATTTATTTTAGACAAATCCATAAGATAAATTGCTCTGTTTGGAGTTCACGGTGTGCAGATTTGACTGTTTACAAAAACCTCAACAGGTGTTGAATATAAGTTTAAGTGTGCAAGACTATCTTGAATTACCCTCTACAGTCTCTACAATATTGTGCAGATATTCTCTAGTGACAAAGACCACTAATAATTAATTTTTTAACAGTAAGTTAAGCATTTATTCTCATGTCACTTAAAATATGTTTTGAAACAATCATATCTCTTATGACTGCCTGTTGATAATAACATCTGTGCATTTGTATTTTATGATCAAGTTTGTGATGGATTTCAACATGACCCCCAATTTCAGTGATGAGTTTAATTCATCTCAACATTTAAATGCAGGTAAATACGCTATCCAAATGTTGTCCAGCAACCTAAATGTGTGTCATGTGGTAAATTAACAGGCTTTATTCAAGTCAAACATATTATTTATTTGACTTCATTAGGTTAGACCATCAAAAGTAGTTTATCTCTTACTTTTTTAAGTGTAATGTTTTGTTTCTCTGCTTGTGTGTAGCTCATGACTCACCACAGATAGCAAACAACCATTGAAACAATGTTAAGTCAATGTTGACGGCTCAACATTAATTGCATTGAATTAACGTTACAAAGTGATGTTGCTTCAGTATCACTTTTGCACCCTCAGTTACTGTTGAAACAAAGTTGAGATTTAAAAAAAACAACAACAATGATAATATCATTGAATCGACATTATGAGGTGATGTTAGTTCAATATCACTTTTGCACCTGCATTTAATGACGGGGTAGGAATAGAAATATGACAAAAGCATTACAACCTTTAAAAATAAAATGTCATTATAACTACAGGTGGTCCAACGATTCAGTTTAAATAAAAACTGTCTTACATCAGACTGCTGCTTCTTTTCCTTTTGGGTTCTCTAGCATAATGTTACTTAAGAACAAGTCAATTCAATTGTCATACTGTCACATTCAAGAATGTTAATATACCAAACAAAATTTGATTCACTTTAAAATATTCTAGCTATGATTATAGACTAGTATCATTAAATTATGTTTATTTATTCTATTTGTCTAAAATCTGTCAATGCCTCAATATCAAAAGAAAGCACTATGGCAGGGGTGTCCAATTTTTCCAGCCGAGTTTATCTCGGGTTTAACTATGTAGCATTTAAGCAACGAGTTTATCTTGAAAAATAAAAGAGCTTAGGTTTTTTTCAATGAAAATGTCTTGGTAGGGATAGTTCACCCTGAAATGAAAATTCTGTCATCATTTACTCGCCCTCAAGTTGTTCTAAACCTGTGTGTGTTTCTTTCTTCTGTTGAACACAAAAGAAGATATTTTAAAGAATATTGGCAACCAGACAGTTGACGGTAGCCATTGACTTCCATAGCAGGAAAAAAAAAAATACTATGGATGTCAATGGATGCCGTACACTGTCTGGTTGCCAATATTCTTTAAAATATCTTCTTTTGTGTTCAACAGAAGAAAGAAACTCAGGTTTGGAAAAACATAAGGGAGAGTAAATGACAGAATTTTATTTTGGGGTGAACTATCCCTTTAAAGCTGCAGATTCACCTTATGTAGATCTTAATCTCTTTAAATGTCACAAAATAGCCATGTCATTCACTTTCTAAATAAACACAAGATGTTTCACTTCTTGTTTCAACTGTTAAATGATGTTAGAACTTTATTCAGGAAATTCCTGATAAACATTGCTAAAGTAAAATGCATTTTTTAAGAATATAGAAAAATGGATGCCTTATTCAAACACCCACCACTGGTCTGCAGAGATACAAAGCTGCATGATCTTGTGGTCTTCAACTACAAATCACTGTTAGTTCAATGTCACTGTCTCCACCCACGACGTGTGCTGTAGGCTTTCATCAAAATTTCAATGCTGATCCAACACACATCTGTTAAACATTGAAATATCAATCTCAAGAAAAATGGTTTGGATCAAAACTCAACATTGTATCAATGTCACCATGCTATCTGGGACAGGCTTTATTGCACGGATAATGATCAGTCATTATCACAAAACAACCCCTGACAAGATGTTTATTGTGTGATTATGACTGGCTGAATATACAATATTCTGCTTATTATATGGCTACTTGCAACATATACACAGGCATGAAATATTGTAGAATTTAGAATGCTATTGCACACATGGCACGTGAAAATAGCATAGTTATGTAAAAAAAAAAAAAAAGGTTACCAGGGACATACATTAATACATAATTTGATGTTCAAAGTTTGGGGTTGGTATATTTCTTTGTGCTTTTGAAAGAACTCTCTACAAGTCATTTTATGAAAAAAGGTAGGACAGATTGCAACAGAAGCAAACTCAACTGATTTTGTATCCTCAATATGTCCTGAGTAAGGAAAAAAAAAAAAGCCCCGAAGAATCCCATTAGGGTAAAGTTTCGAAAAAGACCCAAATATAGCCTATTCATACGCCTATTCATTTTCTCACTTGAATAGGGTAAAAATGTTAACCTTTAGATATCACCATGGAAATTACTGAGTTGATTACTTACATCAAGACAAACAAAAAATGTATTACAAGTTATTTGAAATTGTTTGTTAATATGGGCAAACGATGCATAATCCAATTACGTGTGTGCTAATTTGCATAAATACCACAACAGATCTAAACATTGGGTATAGCCAGGTGAAAATGTCTCGTTGAATCTTGTTGACATATAACAGTAAAATACTTAATGTTAAGGTCTGAATGGAACCCATTTAGGCTACCCATGAGCATTAATACATAGAGGCAGGAAGAAGTACTTTAAACCAGCCTTTATTCCAGCCTTTATTAATGATTATTGCAGAGATGGGGTTTGGGGCTGGGTCCGTGGGACTGTTTCTGGGGGATGAGTCTGAGGGAAGAACAGGAGACAAGGGTAAGCAAAATGCAGAAGACAAAAGGTGAAATAAAAAGTGGCTGGATCAAACAATCAAATTACGTACACAATGCACCACTAGAGAATCTCATCTTCATTCTCGTCACAGGCCATCTGCATTGAGTTTGTGCAGCTCACTCCCCTGCAGTGTCCACAGGCAGTTGACTCATTCTATATATATATATATATTTTTTTTTTACAAAAAATAAAATAAAATACACTCTATTTACCCCCATGCAGGAGATATTGATATTGTCACAGCAGCAATGAAGCACACAAGATACAAAATGACACAATAAACATAGAACCGAGTTTCAGTAAAGTTGAAATGTACCAGATGTTGATCCCTTCCATTCTTGTACTTGTAAGTCCACTCGCAGGCTGTGGTACTTTGCTGCCCCTGATGTTAGTGGTAAGACCTGTGGCTGAATGCAAGTAGAACTGGATGCCACCTTCTCACAGAACCGATGATATCGGAGGGAGTCCAGGGTTTCTGTAGATCTTCCATTGTAGAGAATCACCATAGCTTTCTCCCCTGCTTCTGCTACATCATCTGTAGAACATGAATGTTCATAGAACACTTCAGCTTGCTCTTGAAACATGTCACTTTCTTTGAATTTCTTGAGCGATGCTCCCTTCCCGATCCCATGAAGGCGAGATGTAGTGTCACATCCCAGAACTGCATGCAAGAACAAGATACGCTTACATATGTCTGGGCCGAGCCGTTCTTTTGTAGCCTTGTTGTTCCACATGTGAGGCTTCTTTGTGTTCTACCTTGACTCACTACAGAGGAACAGATCATGAGAATCCATGCTCGCATGGTAGCAGAGAAGGACTGAGAGATCTGTGTCATCCCCCACTAGCACAGTTTTCTTGATGGTAGCACACTGCACAGCTTTCTGCACGATCAACAGATCAGCATCTCCTGAGGCATGGTAGGTTTCACAGTTTGTCTTCTGTAGCTCTCCACTTAGCATGGGATGGAATTGCTGTTTGTTCTGCCTGTTTGCCAAGAACTCTTCCTTCTTCATTGTGCGCGTCATGTCAGCTGTAAATGTCACTGTAGCGCCAATCCTCCATTTTGACCGTCTCTGGTGTGTCATATCCTTCGTGTTGTTACTTAGCCATCAAACACCACTACAGCCTTGCAATACTTCTTCCCTATACATACTCTGTATTGGTGGCATATGTCTTTGTAAGTAGATCCCTGGGACCATGGGATGCGTTGAAGAAGTGCTCCACCATCCAAGACGTACTGGCTGCCATCGACCACATTTTCTGCTGGAACATCTGGCCCAACAAGTTTCCAGATGACATCAGCGAGGGCAGGCTTCTTTGCTTTGTGAAGTAGAAGGGAGGAATCAAATAGAGATGGAGGATAGCTACATAGCTCGTACTTGAGGGCTGACTCGAGTTCATCACATTTCTGTGCCACTATCACCAGTCTCTGGAAGAGAAGCTGTGGATCAATTTGAATTTAATTTCCATCAATCTTCACAGAAGACCTCATGCCAAGAGTAACAGCTTGATCTTTTCTCTTGAAAGTATAGTCACCAGGTGTTCGCCCATCCATTGACTTCAGGATTGCAGTGCCAACAGACTGTGCAGTATCAACTGTGTAGCTTAGCATACCTGCTGTGTTAGCTAGCTAATGAAACTATTCACTAATCCTAAACTAAAATAATAGTTGTACCACAGCTCAACGCACATCCAGATGTTCCCAATAAATTGTAGTTGATCACCAGGTATGTTTTATTAATGTAGGAAATATTTCTTACCTGCTTATGCCGAGTTCAGACTGCACGATTTTAGCCCCGATTTTGGCTCGCCGACAGGTTTTGAGAAATCGCCGACAAATGCCCGAAATCACAGGCAAATCGGTGCTCGTTCACGCGAGTGACAATCACGCAGTGTGAATGAGCAAAGACGCGATCTGAGAGAATCGCCGACGAGTCGCCGACGCCCGTGAGATATTTGGCATGCTAAATATCTGGACCTGTCGGCGATTCACAATCCTGCTGTGTGAATGTGTTCTGACTGAAAACTACATCGGCGATGACCGACAGCCAATGAGAGAGCAAGATACAGGGAGGAGGAGGAGTTATAGACCAGAATATCAGTATTTTAATAGCTTATATTTACAATTATATCAAACATAAACAAAGCACAAACATTTGCATGACCAGCAGCAACAGCAGGACATTTGCAAAATTATTTATTTACCCCCAACTCTATTTGCAAAACACAGTCCTTGCTCCGCTCGTCTTCCCAACCATTTCCTGCATAAACTGTTTATATATATTTATTTTTTCATTTTCGCTACAAATCAGTGCACAGACAATTTGTAGGCTATCATTTTTAATAACAAATTCAGTGTCGCGCGAGAACTCCGGTCTCACGCACGCGTGATCTTCCGTTATTTCCTGTCACATCTCGCGTTTGTTTGGTTGTGAAACGTAGTTTGCGGACCAGGCAGAAGTTGTCGGCGATTCTTTCTTTTGTAAAGTCATGCAGTGTGAAACCTCCTGTCGCCGATCCATCGTGCAGTGTGAACACAGCAGCAACTGAATGTTACCCCAGATAGTCATGCAGTGTGAAAACAACAGTGACCCGATTATTTTGAAAATCGTGCAGTCTGACCTCGGCATTAGTGACAGCTTAGTGACAGTTGAGTGGACCTTGAATGAATGAATCTCTGCCCCTTATGGTAACTTTTGTTTGCCTCTATAGTCTTTTACTGTAAGCTGTCAACAAGATTCTACAAGACATTGTAACCTGGCTATATCCAATGTTTAGATATGTTGTGTTATTTATGCAAATTAACGCATACATTATTATGCACCGTTTGCTCATCTTACCAAAGAATTTCAAAACACTTGTAATACATTTTTTTGTTTGTCTTAATGCAAGTAATCAACTCAGTGTCACGATCCACACTCAAGGAACACAGAAGATCCAATAATGCAGCAAGTTTTTAATAGGGAAATCTGTTACTCACAAAACAGTCCAGGCAGGGGTCAACATCCACATAAGCAATCCAAAACACAAAGAACAATGAGCAGACAGAAACAGACCTCAGATGTGGTGTGATAATAGATAAGGACTCCGTAACAAACACTAAACAAGCAGGGTACTTATACACACAGACTAACAATCATAATGGGTGACAGCTGGGTGCAATGAACAATGATGAGAACAGACAAGGATTGTGGGAAATGCAGTATCTAATGTGACTGACACCATTGGGGAAGAGGACCTCTAGCGGTGAACCAGGGAAACACAAACCCATACTGTGACATAACCCTCTACGGAGCGGCTACCAGATGCTCCAAGACACAACTACACAACAAGACAAAACAAGAGTCCAGGAGGGAGGTGGAACGGTGGAGGACCAGGAGGAGGGATGGGGGGGGCCAGGTCCATGAAGGGGAACAGGAACAGGGGGTGACGGTTTAGCCGGCGGCACCGACACCGGCTCGGGAACAGACACCGACACCGGCTCTCGGGAACCGACACCGGCTCGGGAGCAGACACCGGCTCGGGAGCAGACACACCGACTCCGGCTCGGGAGCAGACACACCGACTCCGGCTCGGGAGCAGACACACCGACTCCGGCTCGGGAGCAGACACACCGACTCCGGCTCGGGAGCAGACACACCGACTCCGGCTCGGGAGCAGACACACCGACTCCGGCTCGGGAGCAGACACACCGACTCCGGCTCGGGAGCAGACACACCGACTCCGGCTCGGGAGCAGACACACCGACTCCGGCTCGGGAGCAGACACACCGACTCCGGCTCGGGAGCAGACACACCGACTCCGGCTCGGGAGCAGACACACCGACTCCGGCTCGGGAGCAGACACACCGACTCCGGCTCGGGAGCAGACACACCGACTCCGGCTCGGGAGCAGACACACCGACTCCGGCTCGGGAGCAGACACACCGACTCCGGCTCGGGAGCAGACACACCGACTCCGGCTCGGGAGCAGACACACCGACTCCGGCTCGGGAGCAGACACACCGACTCCGGCTCGGGAGCAGACACACCGACTCCGGCTCGGGAGCAGACACACCGACTCCGGCTCGGGAGCAGACACACCGACTCCGGCTCGGGAGCAGACACACCGACTCCGGCTCGGGAGCAGACACACCGACTCCGGCTCGGGAGCAGACACACCGACTCCGGCTCGGGAGCAGACACACCGACTCCGGCTCGGGAGCAGACACACCGACTCCGGCTCGGGAGCAGACACACCGACTCCGGCTCGGGAGCAGACACACCGACTCCGGCTCGGGAGCAGACACACCGACTCCGGCTCGGGAGCAGACACACCGACTCCGGCTCGGGAGCAGACACACCGACTCCGGCTCGGGAGCAGACACACCGACTCCGGCTCGGGAGCAGACACACCGACTCCGGCTCGGGAGCAGACACACCGACTCCGGCTCGGGAGCAGACACACCGACTCCGGCTCGGGAGCAGACACACCGACTCCGGCTCGGGAGCAGACACACCGACTCCGGCTCGGGAGCAGACACACCGACTCCGGCTCGGGAGCAGACACACCGACTCCGGCTCGGGAACAGACACCGACACCGGCTCGGGAACAGACACCGGCTCAGGCTCGGGAACAGGAACCGGCTCAGGCACGGGAACAGGAATCGGCTCAGGCACGGGAACAGGCACAGGCACAGACACCGGCTCAGGAACAGACACCGGCTCAGGAACAGACACCGGCTCAGGAACAGACACCGGCTCAGGAACAGACACAGACACAGACACCGGCTCAGGCACAGGAACAGGCACAGACACCGGCTCAGGCACAGGCACAGACACAGGAACAGACTTTGGATCGGCAGACGTGACGTGAACAGTCTCTGGATCGGCAGACGTGACGTGAACAGTCTCTGGATCGGCAGACGTGACGTGAACGGTCTCCAGGTTCTTGAGGAGGCTGGTGGTCTTCCCCCTCCTCCGCTTCTGATGGCGATGTGCAGACTCTGGGCTGGACGGGAACAGTGGTGAATAGAGCTCTGGACTGGGCCTCACTAGCCCATGCAGGATCAAGGAGGGACCGAGGCGGAGAGTGGTGCCGGGACTAAACTCTAGCACCTCCTCTCCTGCGACCTCCGCGGGTCCCAGAACACCTGGCCAGACGGGTTCCCTCAAAACGACTCTCCGGGTCCGACGGAAGGGAGCGCTGGAGACTTTGCCGCCACGACTTCCTCAGTCTGACGGGCCCACAATGCAAAACATTGAAAAATGTTCATGCGAGGCTCCGCCTCTCTGACTTGAGGACTCCCGCTCGATACTGCTCCCTTCCTCCCATTAGCCTGGGAGGGAACACGGAACCCCGTACTGCTGGATCTTGACATTGACGGAGTCCTTCTGTCACGATCCACACTCAAGGAACACAGAAGATCCAATAATGCAGCAAGTTTTTAATAGAGAAATCCATTACTCACAAAACAGTCCAGGACGGGGTCAACATCTACATAAGCAATCCAAAACACAAAGAACAATGAGCAGACAGAAACAGACCTCAGATGTGGTGTGATAATAGATAAGGACTCTGTAACAAACACTAAACAAGCAGGGTACTTATACACACAGACTAACAATCATAATGGGTGACAGCTGGGTGCAATGAACAATGATGAGAACAGACAAGGATCGTGGGAAATGCAGTATCTAATGTGACTGACACCATGGGGGAAGAGGACCTCTAGTGGTGAACCAGGGAAACACAAACCCATACTGTGACACTCAGTAATTTTCATGGTGATATCTAAAGGTTAAAAATTTTAGCCTATTCGCATGAGAAAAAGAATGAACATGCGTATGAATAGGCTATATTTGGGTCTTTTTCAAAACTTTCCCCTAATGGGATTCTTTGGGGCTTTTTCCCCCTAACTCAGGACATATTGAGGATACAAAATCAGTTGAGTTTGCTTCTGTTGCAATTTGTCCTAGGTTGACCCCCATTTTGGCTTAAAATGACTGGACTATTCTGCTCACCAAGGCTGCATTTATTTGATCAAAAATACAGTAAAAACAGTGATATTGGGAAATATTATTTCAATTTAAAATAACTGTTTTCTATTTGAATACATTATAAAATTAAATATATGAATTTTCAGCATCATTACTCCAGTCTTCAGTGTCCTTCAGAAATCATTCTGATATGATGATTTCGTGCTCAATAAACATTTCTGATTATTATCAATGTTGAAAACAATTGTGCTGCTTAACATTTTTGTGGATTCTATCATATGTTCTCCGTGTTTGTCCTTGGACTTTTGTGTTACTTCCTGTCTTGAGTGCCATGCTGTAGTCCTCTGTAGTTTTCCCCCTTGATTGTCTTTCCCAGGTGTGTCTTGTTAACTCGTTGTCTTGTTAAGCTTGTTCGCCTCTGTGTATAGCCCTTGTGTCTCAGTTGTTGTACATGCAATGGTTGCTTCCGGTCCTGGTTTCCTTGCTTAGTTTGTTGTTTTGTTTCTTTTATTAAAAACTACTGCATTTAGATCCACGTCTCTCCCTCCTTTGCTCCAGCATGTTACAGATCAAATTTTTTTGGGATTCTCTGATGAATAAAAAAGATTAGAATAAATTGAAATCTTTTGTAACATTATAAATGTCTTTACTGTCAATTTAATGCATTGCTGAATAAAAGGTTATGTGTACAACTTTTGAAACTAAAAATGAAAATAGATTCAAATAAAAGCATGTATTTTAAATGTACTTTGATACGGAAAACCAAAAGCACTCAAATCTCTCTTTTGTTTCTTGCAGACACTGACGAACAGTATCACAATGTTCTCATGCCTAGCATTTATGGTGTCATCTGCTTTGTCGGCATTATAGGCAACTGCATTGTCATCTACACCATTGTGAAAAAGACAAAGTTCAGGGCCCAACAGACAGTGCCTGACATCTTCATCTTCAGTCTATCCATCGCAGATCTTCTGTTTCTCCTAGGCATGCCGTTCCTCATCCACCAGCTGGTGGGAAACGGTTCCTGGTGTTTTGGTGCCACCATGTGCACCGTCATCACAGCGCTGGACTCCAACAGCCAGATCGTGAGCACCTACATTTTAACAGTCATGACGTTGGACCGATACTTGGCGACAGTTCATCCCATACGCTTCAACCACATTCGCACTCCATGCGTGGCCGTGGCGGTCGTTGGCCTGGTGTGGATCCTCTCACTGCTGTCCATCACACCGGTGTGGATGTACGCCGGCCTCATGCCTCTACGAAGCGGTTCAGTGGGATGCGCTCTGCTCCTTCCTAATCCGGCTACAGACACCTACTGGTTTACTCTCTACCAGTTTGTGCTGGCATTCGCTTTGCCATTGGTGATCATTTGCGTGGTTTTTTTCAAGATCCTCCAGAACATGGCGGCCACGGTCGCCCCACTTCCCCAGCACAGCCTTCGCTTGCGCACCAGAAAGGTCACTCGGATGGCCGTTGCCATATGCCTGGCATTCTTTATTTGCTGGGCGCCTCATTACATCTTGCAACTGGCACATCTGAGCGTGCAACGGCCCAGTTACGCCTTCCTCTACGCCTATGACATCGCCATTAGCATGGGCTACGCCAACAGTTGCATTAACCCGCTTCTCTACATCATTCTCAGTGAGACCTTCAAAAGACAATTCATCATAGCCATCCGGCCAGTGCACAAAGACTTCCGGGCTGATCCGGGAACGGCCGACGGAAGCGCCAGTCTTCGTTTGGCCCCTGACGGAGTGCAGCAGTCCCAGTCCTCTCGGGAGCTGTTGCCAGTTACCGTGGCTGTACCCTGAAACTATTATCTCACTAGAAATCCTGGGAAACTGCAGACACATTTTTGTGTCTATAATAAGTATACAGCTGAAAAGAAGTCTATGAAGCTTGTTGCAGAATTGCTCAGTAACGGAGTCCGTGGGTTTAAATGGATCTGTGATTACACATTTTCCTTGTCATATTTCTGTGAAGTGAAAGAGATATGATACGCAACCCTTCCAGTTGATTTACTACCTTCCAGTTGTATTTACAACCTTTTGTTTTCTGTAAAATAGGGCTTTGGAAAGTTTACGGTTGGTACGATATACAGTGGAGATCAAAAGAACAACCTACAATTTCCTAAATTGGTCACTGCTTAGTCCTATTTGAAGTTATCCTAACAAGTAGAAGGGCAGTTTTAAAAAACACCTTTTCGTAAGTTAAATACATTCTGAACAACAGTATTAATAACTTAAATGAGACATTAAAAAAAAAAAAACTGATCAAAATTGGAGAACACTTTCAGATACCTCCCACTTCTTGGTGTTAATCTGGCACATGGTGCTAATTTCCTTAATTATCTGACAAACCCCATTTAATAGCATTTAAATCCCATTTTCACTGACTTTGCAAGATGAAGAGGCGCTCTAAGATGCTCTCAGATGAAGGCCTAAGCGGGATGACCCTTTCAGCCACTGCAAGAGAAGTTGGTCATTCCAAATCTGTGATTTCTAGAATATTGTAGCTTTACAATGACACTAATTAATTCAAGTCCCCCCAAAAGGCTGGACGTCCACGTAAGACAAATGCATGAGAGGACAGGATTATGCGGAGACTCTCAATGGAGAATCGGTTCAACACTGAAGCTGGAATTGCTCGCCAATACAGTGCTGAAAAAGGGTACGGATTTGTCTCGGCATACAGTGTCTCGCCATTTAATAGAATTCGGATTGAAAGCCCACTCTGCAGTGTCCAAAATGCTAGGCTATCCTTTGCTGAGGAGTATGTTGTGTGGACTGAGGAGAATTGGTCCAAAGTTTAATTCATTTGTGTAATTTGGGAAACATTATGTACGGCATCAAACTTAGGAAAGACTGAACCCAAAGTGCACAAAGAAGTCATTGAAAGTTGGAGGAGGAAGTGTCATGGTTTGGGAGATGTTTTCTGCAGCAGCTGTTGGGGCTTTTATACACCTACACGGCAGGGTGAATGCAAATGCATTGCACATGTGGTTCCTTCCCTGTGACCATCTCCCAATCAGCCTGCAATTTTTATGCAAAACAGGTAAAGCAGTTCATTGGAGTTAAGAACATTGATTTAATGAAATGGCCTGCCCAGAGTGGACAAACCGAATAGAACATATCTGGAAAATCCTTGGTGACAAAGTAAAGGCTAAGAAAACCTATCACTGAACTTTGGAAGAGACTAGAGTGGACCAAGATCACACCAGAGCAGTGTGAGAAACTAGTGAATCATTCAAAGCAAAACTTACTAATTTGGGACATTTATATATATATGAAGAGTTCAGATGCAAAAGCCCCAAGTGCCATTTGAAATTTTCTTCTAAAACGATAATTTTTATCAAGCTTGTATATTTAAGTTCAGTAATTTCAGTTAAATGACAATTAATAGGTCATCTTCATTGCCATTTAAGTGAAATTACTGAACTTAAATATACAAGCTTGATAAAAATTATCATTCTAGAAGAAAATTTCAAATGGCACTTAGAGGCTTTTGCATCTGAACTCTTCATATATTGTATTTGAAAGTCTTTTGCTCACCAAGGTTGCGTTAATTTGATGAAAAATACAGTAAAAATGTGTTAAATTAGAAATAACTGTTTCTGTTTTAATATATTTAAAAAAGTAATTTATTCCTGTTATGACAACGCTGTTTTAGTTTTATTTATTTTAGTTCATTAAGTTAAACTAAATGAAAATGATAAATATTTCACACAAAAATTCAAGTGCTGATTTGTTTTGATGGTTTTAGTCTTAGTTAACTATAATAACCCCGATGACAGTTTCTGTATGTTACCTATATTTCCTCGTAAGTGTCACAGTTTCCCTTTGTTTGGACTTTGTTTGTGTTCGTTTTGCATTGTCTGTCGTGATTCGTTATTCAGTTCAGGTGTGTCTTTAGTTATCCTCATTTACCTGTGTTTTTAAGTTCCCTTGTTTCAGTTCAGTATTGTCAGGTCTTGTCAATGTTACGGTTGTGTTTGCTTGTTTGGATTTACTAAAGTAGTTTTTAAAGTATTTACTACTAAAGCCTGTCTTGGATCTTTATCTTCTTGTGTGTGTTACAGCCAGTTGTGACAATAAGTCCATAACTGTGTCACATTGTCTATCTCACGAGAGACTAGCTTGTTTTACGTTATTTATACAATTATTTTGCCTTGTAAAGTCATTGAAAATGGTTCTTATGAGCTATTCTTAATTATGTTTTAATTACATCAATGCTTTTTGTTTAAAACACAAATCTTGTTTTTGATGTCAGTGTAAATGTGTATACTCGTTTTTGATATTGTGTTTTATGTTGACTTCTTTAATCATTTTGGTGATGTATTAAATTTTTAAATAGTCTGTACATATAAATTAAAAACTGTTTAATTTTATTAACTGGTATGGAAATATAGTAGCAAATTGTGTGCGTGTCTGTATAGAAAAACAACAACAACTCTATTGGACATAGGCTAGTCTTCAGAATGCCAGCCATTGTGTTCCTCTGAAAAGAGGGGATTTGGATGGAAAATAGGTTACCCCATTTTATAAACATCTTCTGTTACTGAAATCCGCATATAAAGTAATTTAAAGTGTCCGATTTCCTCTTTTGATTGCGGTGGAAAACTGGACAAAAAAGGTTTGATATTCAGAAACGTACTCGGTTACTAACGTAAGCTCGGTTCTCTCTAGAGAGGGAACGAGTACTGCGTAATAGCTTACACTAGGGGGAAAAACTCTTTTCCGCGAGATATTGAAGCCAAAAATTATCCTTAATTTTTTATTAATGTAAAACGCTTTGCAGCAGCAAGCAGACATAGGCGAAACAGCTCGCGCGCCTATTGGTTGCTCTGCAGCAAATGCAGCAGCCTATCGAGAGAGACTCTGCGTGACGTAATGACCAATGGGGGCAATTCGCGCCCATATCGTCACGTCCCGCCAGAAGGGGCGTGGTCTCACCCTATAAATATGCTCGTTAGGCTGATACAAGCTGGTTTTTATCACTGAAGCGAACCAGAGCGTATTCCAAGCACGGCAAGATACGCAGTACTCGTTCCCTCTCTAGAGAGAACCGAGGTTACGTTAGTAACCGAGTACGTTCTCTTACGAGAGTATCTCTCGTACTGCGTAATAGCTTACGCTAGGGGAACACAATGCAACACGCCGTGCGTACAGGGATCCAACACCAAAGTCCCGGGGGCCGAAGCCCAGGGCTCATGTAGTGCATAATCACCATAAACTCACATAGAGTGGAGGAAGAGAGGCTGGAAGCGTCATTCCCTATAAAAAAGCACCCAGCGGGGCTATCATATGACAATAAAACGCGCAGCCAGGGTGAAAGCTTTCAGCCTGATCTGGGTGGCCATACGTGTGTCAACACTCATGGGGCTGCAGTAAACTCAGCATCTGGGCCGCACAGCGGGGCAGATAGCACTGAATTTTAGACCGCCAAAAGCTTAGCTTGTAAGGCGGGTACCTCCAGGTTATAGTATTTTATAAATGTAGACGGCGAGGCCCAGCCCGCGGCCGTACAGATATCTTGCAGGGAAACCCCGCTCGACCATGCCCACGAAGAGGCCACGCCTCTCGTGGAGTGCGCCCTGACACCCAAGGGGCACTGTAGGCCATTCGCAGAGTAAGCGAGCGCAATGGCATCCACTATCCATCTGGATAGGCTCTGTTTTGAGGCGGCGAGTCCCTTGGAACGCCCGCCAAACAAAACAAAAAGCTGCTCCGTCTGTCTGAAAACAGACGAGCGTGACACATAAGCTCTCAATGCCCTGACGGGGCAAAGGAGACTCGCATCCTCCTCCTCACTGAGAACCGGAAGGGCGGACAGGGAAATTACCTGGGCCCTGAACGGTGTATTGAGGGATTTCGGGACATACCCGTGCTTTGGTTTGAGAATGACCTTCGAGTCATTAGGCCCAAACTCCATACACGACGCGCTTACTGAAAGCGCCTGTAAGTCCCCTATGCGCTTCACTGAAGCGAGAGCCATGAGAAACACTGTTTTGAACGACAGGTGTTTCATGTCCACCAGCTGGATTGGCTCGAACGGGGCGCCTTTCATGGCCTCCAGGACCGTGGAAAGGTCCCACGTCGGGACTGAAGGGGGCCTGGGAGGGTTCAGCCTCCGAGCTCCCCTAAGGAAATGCACGACTAAGTCGTTTTTCCCCAGCGACTGGCCAGACACCGGTTTTGCAAACGTTGCTATGGCCGCCACATATACTTTGAGCGTGGATGGGGTCCTGCCCTTATCCAGTAGCTCTTGAAGGAAGGAAAGTACTTCCGAAACCCCGCATTCCACAGGTGAAAAGCTCTGGGCTTGACACCATGCAGAGAAAACAGACCATTTCGAGGAGTAGAGCCGCCTGGTAGACGGAGCTCTAGCCTGCGCGATCGTGTTTAACACTCCTTCTGGGAGGCTAGCGGGTACCCGTTGATGGCCCATGCGTGCAGGGACCACAACTCCGGGCGAGGGTGCCAAATCGAGCCCTCCGCCTGAGAGAGGAGGTCTCTCCTCAATGGTACAGGCCATGGGGCAGTGCTGGTCAGCTGCATCAGGGCAGGGAACCACGTCTGGTTTGTCCAGAGCGGAGCTACAAGCAGCACTGGGCATCCGTTCTCCCTGATTCGTTCCAACACCTGAGGCAGGAGCGAGACAGGAGGAAAAGCATATAGGGGGCAGCGGGGCCAAACATGAGCCAGCGCGTCCTTGCTTTTCGAGAAAAACTCCGGGCAATGAGCGTTTTCGTGGGACGCGAATAGGTCCACCTGTGCTCTGCCGAACGTTTTCCACAGCAGCTGGACCGTCTGCGGGTGCAGCGACCATTCCCCTGCTGGAACATTGTTCCTGGACAGTCTGTCTGGTCCCACATTCAGGTGACCAGGCACGTGCGCTGCTCTCAGTGAGAGCAGGTTGTGCTGAGCCCAGACCAGGAGGCGTTCCGTCAGCCTGTGAAGGTTTCGTGACCTGACGCCGCCCTGGCGATTTATGTATGCCACCACTGA